AAAGAAAGAAAGAAAGAAAGAAAGAAAAAGAAAAAACAGGAAAGGCAAAGTGTGGGGGATCATCTTGACTCTTCTTGAATTTAATAAGCACATTAAGTTTGGGTAAAATGCACAAACAAATCATTACTGTTATCCCTGAAAATTAAGGACAGCTATAAATTCACACATATACAGTCATTTGTACTTCACTAACTTGGAATAAGTAATCATTGGGGCAGGGCTTGGACTTTGTGTATAAAAGCTAGGTTTGGTAACAACTTGAAGAGTTTAAATTGAATTTCACCAGAAAATGTCCTTCAAGAGCAGAAATACTTTTGAAACACTACATAGATCCTTTATCACACACACACACACACACACACACACACACACATGACTTTCATGTATTCACTAGAATAGATTTAATAATTAATATTTGCAAAAATACCCAGACAACATGTTAATAGCTTAGTTTGTGTTCATACTTTTTGTTCATACTTTTGTAGGAAAATCATATTGGTTCGCAGTGTTCTATAACTTTGGGCTTCCTGATGAGCTTTGACTGCATGAACACTGTGCTGTGCTCAAGTTGCTGGGATGTGATTTCCTCTTTCTAACAGAGACTCAGAACTTCTGAGAGTAGATTCTCTGGCACACAACCCATTAAAACCTATGACTGTATCTGGGCTTGTGGACTCAATTGAGGCTGCACCTAAGTCAAGGTTGAAATTCATATAGGACCGCTGAGCAGATCTCAAAAATAATTATTCTACAAAGTGCACCTCCATATAACATACTGCCTTCCTTCTCCTTGATTTCATATGAAGCTGCCCCAGACTCTGCCAGCCCAATCCCGTGCTGGCTGTTGCAACTCCTAGCTAGGCTCTAATAAGCTTCGAACCCCTCATTAAATCACAAGAGATAGAATCTACTTCTTACCTTTCACAGTTCTTCGGGTCTTCAAACAGGTTCGGAACTTTGGCCATCTTGACTTCTGTAACAGGAAGAGACCAGTGGCTGTCAGCTAAGCCACAGATGCTGGCGAGGGTGTCCACCTCTGCTTCGGACTTCTGGAGAGACTGTTCTGACTGACTTAGCCCCCACTCAGCACTGTCCCCCTTGTCCTTCTCACTCTCTTGCTGTCCTTCCTATGCATCCACCTATTCCCCAAGATTGTAAACTTCTCTGAGAATGTTTTATTTGTCTTGGGATTCCTTGTGGGCTCAACTTAGTGCATCATCCATTGTAGGCATCCAATCAATGCTTGCCTAGCTTTAGGAAAAACAAAGCCATAAGAAAGAGATAGTCACCTTATACAGAGGTAAGAGAGAAACAGAGCTGGAAATGTTCAGTTCTCTCCTAATAGTCTTTGGTGGTAGAAGGTTCTTCCCAGGGGAAGACATGGCCCTTGGTTGAATCCAGTTCTCTGACTACCCTTTGGTTTCCCATCAGTAAAATAAGACAGTCATTTTCTGAAATCTGCCTGGTGTGTAATTCTAGCTCATACACCAAGTCATGAAAGGACAGGAAAAGAAAAAAAGGAAGAGGCCAAAGCTTTACAGAAGGTAGTTTGAAGACAGCCAGGGAGAAAAAAAAACCCACTTTAAAAGCCATAGATGTGATAGGGACAATACCTTTGCCGACTCAAGTGCCAATGAAATGACTCGTTCACCGCTTTGACACTGAAGACTGAGTCAGGCTTCTCTGCCTTTTATGTCTCTCTCAGTAGGTGTGGCCACAGTTGTGTCACTGGGAACTTACAGGAAATCTTTTTTATTTTATGTGTTTATTCAACTTGATAGGAGCCAGAACAATGACAGATTGTATACTTGACAATATTGCTGTTTGCAAAGATTCCAGGAGTTATTGACTTAGTTCATCTATTTATTGCTTGCTCCATATGATTATAAACATGTAGTCTTAAAATAAGGGAAGAACAGCCGGAAGCTTATCAAATTTCTAAAAATAAATGATGTCGAAGGACAGAAGAAATCCCCGAATCAGGGTTGGAGAGAAGCGGTAGCTGTACTTTGTGTTTTGTCTTAATTTGTTTATTGTACCGCAGGGCTGAGTGTGAGTTGGCAGAAGAATTGGCAGTTTCTGACAGCTATGGGGCAGCATCTGATGAAAATGGACCACTTGTTTTCTAAAGGGGGATACTTGTTTTATTATGGTATGGATTTCTCTGAGTGTAGAGTGACAATGTGATTAGATTAGGATAGAGGGGAGAAAACTGGTGCTACTCTTCTGAATAGAATCAACACATTTGCTACATAGGTGACAGAACTTTAGGAGAGAACCCCTGGCCCTAACCACATTACAGTGAAGTAAGTAGCCGTCTACCAGAGCCTAAGGACAGCTCTGGCATTCTCTGGGGAAAGCCAAGATGGGTGAGGATGGATGTCCAGTCAGGCACAGCCTAAGCACCTGCCAGAGCCAGCGGCTGAGTTAGGAAATGGTGGCTGTGGGAAAGGAAAGCATGAATCTTACATGTGACACTGCGCAGCCTTGCCTTTTCGGTTGTCTTGAGGCCAGCCCAGATCAGGTGGCGACCATCAGACTCTTGGCAAATCTGTTTCATGTTCCCTAGTTGGAGTTTTGGCCGCATAAATTTTAGATTGAAGAAATGAATGGAAAGGGAAGGGAAGCACAGGTAAAATGAGAAAAGGAAGGCACCGAAGTGTGGTATAAAAAAGCCCCAAAGCACGGAATCAGATAAATCATTCTCCTTTGTTCTGCTTAGCTGTAAGTAATAGCATTGGGTAGAGGATCAGTGAGTCCAGTCTATTCACAGGATCTCTGGTTCTGATTCTGCTACCCAGCCTAGCTCCTTCTGGTGTAAACAGGAGTCCCAGAATAAGTGGTTCCCTGGACTCAAGCAATGTCAACGTAGGACCAGATTGGGGCAGAAAGTTGGTGTCTCAGGAAAGAGCCTGTGTGAACACAGATGACAGCCAAGGAGTCCTCCATATTTCTACTGACGTTGTTCCCCTCTGGGCCACACAGAAATGCTATCCCTGGTCACCCCCTCTGCCTCTGGGCATCTTGTGAGAACCATTATTACTAAGACCCAACTGCAGAGCACATTGTGAATGTGGGCTGCTATGGAGATGCAGCTAAACAAAAATAATAACAACACTAATGATGGCTTCAGTCACTTGGAAACCTGTTCAGTCATCGCCGGAATGCCTCAGCTCCCTGAAGAAAAGAGAGTTCTTATGAAAACATACGTTTTACGACTTCAACAGGGAGGAAAATTTTAAGTGAAGGTCAGCACTGAAATCCTGAAGATACGTGGCTTCTGGTAGTAGTGTATAGAACTTCTTTGGTAATCTAGGAAAACACCCTTGGTTCTACCAGCTGTGGCAACACCCAGGCTGTCCACATCTTTACTCCCTATGCTATAGAGAATTTCCCAGATGCGATTGTTGAATTTCTCAAGGAGAATTTGGTTAAGAAACAGCCATCTCAGGGTACCACCCAAATCATTACTTCACTTTAAAACCACTTGGAAGGTGGTTTTAAAGAGGGGCGGGGAACAGGTAGATGAAAAGAAGTGGGCCTGGATTTTATTAATATTATTTTTTGGTTGCTACTTTTCTGTGATTGGGAATTAAGACTGGACAGACCATCTCTACTAGGGAAGTGACAGAGGGATATACTGGGTCCTGTGGTGTGTGTGTGTGTGTGGGGCTGTCCTGTGATAGGAATTCTGAGTGGCTTTATGCCATACCTCTCAGCCATCTGAAGTGGACTCGGAAAACTTTTCTTGACTCATGTCATCTAAATAACTCAGAAAAATAGCACTGTGTACTTATTCTGTGTCACAGGTTTTGCTAGGCCTCAGCATTTTTCTTTTATGACCCACAAAATTAAGTGTGGCAGATAAAGTGCCACGTGTGTGTGGATGAGTGTCTATAAGTTGAGAGGCTGTGGACACCAGGAAACTTGATAGTGTTCACATGAAAATTGCTTTAGAGGGCACAGAAAAGTCTCCGTTGAGATCCTTGTCAGATCCCAATAGGAGAGGAAGCCGTCTTAGAAGAGGTAAAGGGATCAATCTATGGTAACAAAACCTGTTAGTGCCAGTACTTGACCTCAGCTTTCTGATTCTTAGTCTAATCTCTATTCAGTGCCAAATGACAGAGAGGAATGGAACATCTTTGAGGTTTTCCCCACTTTAAACACCCCATTATTTCATGATTTTAGGATCCTTATAAAAATGAAATGAGCATGAAAAAATGCTTGAAAGAGCTCCCCTCCTTCTCTTCTTTTCTTTCAGCAAAATCTCAATTTATTCTGTGATACACAGAAATCAGGGTCAAGGTGACTTATGTAACTGAGTACATGGTTAGTGATGGAGTCTGGCTGTGATTGTACCAGGAAGGTGGGAAACACTTTTGGCAGCAACTTTAAAATGGTTACATACAGGTAGCAATAACAGGAATGATTTGACTATAGAGAAAAGTACAACATTCCCCTGTGAATTTCCTGGAGAAAATTTGACCAAGTATATCCATTGATCCCGCGCCCCAGATTCAACCAACCAGATTCAACCAACCACAGATCGAAAACACTTGGAAAAAAATGTATCTTATTGAACATGTATTGACCATTTTTCTTTCTAATACTCCCTAACTAAGATACTATAATACCTACTTACATACCATTTATGTTATAATAAGTATTATAAATCATTTAGAGAGTTTTTCCAATTGTAAAGGAAGATGTGTATCGGATCTATGCGAATCCTAAACTGTCTATAAAGGACTTACATAGAGTCCATGGATGTTGGTATCTGCAGGGGTTGGTGGGGTCCTGCAACTAACACCCTGTGGATGCTAGGGGCAGATGTGTATCTTTTCATGTGGTATAAACTCCTTCATAAAAATAAGGCATGCATGAATCATCAGATGGAGGGAAAATTGAACCTTTGTCTCAACTTGCATCCTATTTAGTAATAATTTTCAGTTCTGTGACAGTTAGGGAGAGGAAGGGACTTAGAATAGCTGCTGACCATGTTACTAATCCATGATGTTGTTTAATCCTGTCATCAGACCCTTGAGGTATGTGTTCTTATCACATTGTACAGATGAGGAAGTCAAGGTCTAGAGAAATTACGCAATCAGACCAAGGTTACGAGGCTACCAAATTGCGGAAATAAGATGCAGAATTTACCACAAAGCCTCCTCTTTTCCTTGGTGTGGGCTCTTTTCTTTTTCTGTGTATTCTTTTAAATTAAGTTTTAGGTTTTTTTGCCTTTGTTTCAGCATACTGAAGTTCCTGGAATTCTAAAGAAAGATGTTAAAGAAAAGATACACTTTGGATATCACCTAAAACTTTAGGTCTGAAAGTCTTAATTTTATAAAAGAGGAAACAGTTTTAGAGGGATAGTTGTACCCTAAAGCCACACAGAGAATTTATATGAGTGGAAAATAAAATTCAAACTTACTATTTCTTGAGTTCTAGATCAAAATATCTGACTACTTGTGACATTGGCTCTTTAGCAAAGAGG